GTTCGCCTTATCGCCTGCCGTATTACCTCTCAATCCCAGCCGCGAGCAGGGGTCCCAGACGGGGCTCGTAATTTTGCGGGTGAGGGGACATAGTCAGGGTCCACATCGACTCTGAATATCTCCGATCCGTCGTCCGATGTGGCGCGATACAGAATGTAGGCCATCGGACATGCGGAGGGCCAGCGGGCTTCATGTGGCCATGCGTTGGAGGGATATATGCGTCGTTGGGTTGCGCTCTAGGGGTTGCGTCTCAGCATCGTCACCTTTGTAATCTTCGTAGCAGCCATGGCTCCTTATATCAACGCCCACGAGTGGGCCACCGACAATGAAGCTGGCGTGAACCAGATCAAGGACAAGGCCGGGGTCGCCTCCGTCAAATTGGAAGCCACCGCAAAGCCCCCAGTCGCTGATGACTACATGTACGACTTCAAGTTCAACCACGCGCTTCCCACCTCCGATGTTCTCGGAATCGAGATTCCTGCCGACTGCGATGCTCAAAAAGAGGCTGAAGCCATTGTGGCTCGCCTCTCCGAGGCTTTAGGAAAAGGCGATGCTCGGGACTTTGCAGATCAATTCCTCGATTATGGTGAGTTTCTTATCATCTCGTCTTGTCGTTCTAGGACGACACTGGACGACATTCCTTGCGGATGGTCTAGGAGACTAACTGATCTCCCTCTTGAGGCGTTTGGCGAGACAAGCTCGCATTCACCTGGGACTACCGCACCTTCAACTTCCAGCCGGCGATCTTGAAGGCTGCCTCCGACCTTTTGCCCAACACCAAGGCCTCTAATTTCAAGTTCCTGAAGCCTGCCCCAAAGATCGACCGCCCCTACCCTGACTATGCCCAGCTGCAATTCATAGTGTCTTTCGAGACCAATGTTGTGCTTGCTTCAGCTGTCATTAATGCAGTCCTCACTAGGGGTGGCTGGAGGATCTATACCATGCACACCGTTGCTGAGAAGCTGAAGCAGTTCCCCGAGATCCCGCCCGCTGACGGACACATGACCGGTGTCGTGAGCTGGGAGAAGCAGAGGTCGCTGGATGTTGACGCTGCTGATCCGGAGATACTAATTATCGGTGGTGGCCAGAAGTCAGTATTGAATCAGACCTTTTGAGTTTGCCTGCAAGTACTAACGCTCTAGCAGCGGACTGGCGCTAGCTGCCAGATGCAAGGCACTTGGCATGAACAATCTCATCATCGAGCACAGCGCAGGAGTTGGCGATGTTTGGAAGAAGCGGTACGAGTATCTATCGCTTCATTTCCCACATTGGGCAGACGATTTGCCTTACTTTCCCTATCCCAAGCACTGGCCCACGTACACTCCCGCACAGAAGCAAGGGGCTTATATGGAGTGGTATGCCTCAGCTCTTGAACTTAACGTCTGGCTCAAATCGTCAGTTGTCAAGGCCGAACAGCACGACCAGGGCAATTGGACAGTAGTTATCAACAAAGAGGACAGGGAAACCCGCATACTGCACCCGAAGCAGGTCGTTATGGCCACCTCCCTGTGCGGCACCCCTATGCTCCCCGCTGTCCCAGGGATGACCGACTTCAAAGGTGTCATTCGACACTCTACCTCGCACGATAGCGCTCGTGACTTCGTTGGCAAGAAGGTATGTGTGGTTGGCACCTCGTCCTCCGGCTTCGACACCGCCTTTGACTGCGCCCGCCGCGGCATCGATGTCACCCTTCTTCAGCGGTCGCCGACATACATCATGTCCCTCACTCACTCCGTCCCCCGCATGATCGGCAACTATGCCCCCGATGCCGACCTAGATCGCCCCAATCTTGAGGAGCAAGATCGCCTGTTCTTTGCTACCCCTGTTGGCCCCGGCGAGGAGCTCGCCAGGCGCAACGCCAAAGTCATTGAGAGCCTAGATCGGCCCCTGCTTGAAGGGCTCAATGCCCGTGGTCTCCGAACGTGGCGTGGCCAGCGGGGTACTGGCGGCTCAACGTTAGGCCAGACCCGTAATGGCGGCTTCTACTTTGATGCCGGTGCCTGCGAACACATCATCAACGGCAATATCAAGGTCGAATCCGGGTACATAGAGCGCTTCACAGAGGACAAGGTGATCCTAAGCGGTGACCGCGTACGCGAGTTCGACTTGATTGTCTTCGCAACCGGCTTCACCAACACAATTGACTCTGTGCGTTCCACTCTTGGCGACAAGATGGCTGACCAATGTGGTCCGATCTGGGGCATTGACGAGGAGGGCGAGTTTAAGACCGCATATAGAGAGACCGGAGTACCGAACCTCTGGATCATGGTGGGATACCTCCCCTATACACGCTTTCATTCCAAGCTACTCGCTATGAGATTGAAGGCTCTGAAGGAGGGCATCGCGTCGGCCCCTTACAAGACATAGATTCGATGTATGATATATAGCTTCCTACTTTAGATCTCCTTCAAACACAGCGTTTCCCTAATAACTATCTGAATAGCTCACTGCCCGAGTACGGACGCTTGTTGTTGAACTTGTTGTTGACATAAGAATTCTAGCACATTAGAGATCTACTTGATGATTCATCGATCTACCAAATTATAGTATGAAGTGCAATTTGTCCCTTATGACAAAAGAGAGCCCCGCTAAGCCTAGTGGTAAGCTCCTTAGCCCCTAATAGGGGTCAATATAGTATATATATGGTATGAGAGCATCCTAATTCTCTTTTGTATAATCGATATAGTTTAATGAACTTTCTATTATCTAATTATATGCTTGTATATACTCTATGGTCTGTCATAATTATAAGTCTGGTTAGTATATATATATAATTCTATTATATTATATTATAAACTATGTATATGATACTTTCCTTTAGAAATAAGAATATATAGAATGTTATTAAGACCTATTTGTTATAACAAAGCTTACCAACTAAAGCTTTTAGACTAATTGGTATCAAAAGCTTCGAATAGAAGCGAATCTATAAGGTAATTAACATCTAATTGACCTAGAAGTAGAGGATGTTATCTCTCTTATGATAGAAGCTTGCTCTTTGATAACCTTAGACAAGTATATAGCTAGCTTAAATATATCTATATTTAAGAGATATTTTATAAAGCTTGTAGAATGGGTATAAAGTATAGTATCTTAAGAGGAAAGGGGATTTAAGCTTATTAAGCTTGTTATAATAATAAATAAGTAAATAAAGGACAATTATAATATTTATTTAAAGATTTATATAATAGGTAAGGCAAAATGATTAGATGAAAGAGAAAGATATTAAGCTATCTATAATTAGATTAGGAAAATGGTGGTAATAAAGCTTTATTCTCTTATAAGTATAAAGCTAAATATATAAGAAACTAAGCCTATATTATAGGCGATTATATAAGACTTAAAACAAAGGTTTATTCTTTTATATTTGAGTATTCTAACAATAGTGAGGGAAATATATAATAAAACGCTTATATAAGCAAAGCTTAAGGGATAATCTCTAGAGTGTTGGCTTTAAGATTGAAAGTAGGCCTATCTTATTGGTAAAGCTTACTAGATTTTGGAAGTTTAGGAGGCGATCATTATAAGAGCCTTTTTAAAAGCGATTAGTTTTTGAATTTATCTAGAATAAGCTAAAGCAAAGTTAGATGACTTTATAATTGATAAAGTTATAAGCTAACTAACTTACTTTTTATAATAATATAGTAAGGCTTTCTAAGTAGTCTTTAACGTATAGACGAGCTTGCCAAAAGTAGGAAATTATTTAGTAGTATAGGAGAATATAAGTGAGGAGACTAGCAAATAGACTCTAAAGCGTTTATCAAATAAAGAAGCTTATAACTGCCTTTACTTTAGCAAAAAAGGAAAAACATATTGTTGGAAGCTTTCTAAGTATATTATCTTATGCTAAGCAATCATTAGAACCTTTCCTTTAAAGAAGATAAGAATTGAAAGCAAAAGTAAAGATAAGCTTATAATAATTTATATAAAGCTTTAATATTCTTAATTTAAGGATATTCTAAATAGTCTGAAAGGCTAGAAATAATATAAAAAGGTATAAACAAATAAAGGTGATAAATAAGGCTTCCTAGCTTAGCTAAGGTTAGTAGTAGCCGTTATTATCGATCTTTTGCTTTTTAAATATATTAGAAGCTTTCTAAAAGTATATTCAATACTTTTAAACTGAAGGTATCTACTGACAGACTTTATACTATTCGATAATTATAGAGTAGTATATATAGTAAACGCTAAGAACTTACTATTATCTGATTCGATTATATCTACTGACTCTATCTTACTTAACGTTAGAATAAGATAATATATGATTATAGTATATAAAACTAGGATGATTATAAAGGTTTTTAATAGAGTATAAAAAAAGAGGATAGAAGATCTTACTCTTAAGGAGGTTATATTGATAGAAAGATTCTATATAAATATAGTCTTTAAAGCTTACCTTTTAGAAAAGAAAGTTTAAATAGTTGGAATTGATAGCTTACTATAGATTAGAATACTTAAAAATAATAGGAAAATTGTATAATTAGAATATTATTTTAACTTTATATTCTTTAAATATAAGTTTATTTTCTTTTATTCTAAAGTATATTCTATTTTAATAAGCTTTATAAGATTATTTTTAACTATGAAAATTAAACTAAAGGAAATAATATAAAGGCTTTTACTAGCTTATCTATAGCTAAAAAGTGACTTAGAGCTTATCTAACATTTGTAAATAAGGTATTTAGGCTAGAAAGCTCTAAGGATATTGATAATAAACGTAAGGAATATACGAATTTATGATAATATATCCTTAAGATATAAATCTTATGTTTTTATTAAGATAATATAAATAATATCTTATATTCTTTTGGAAAATCAAGTATTTTATCTTTTCTATTATATTAACTTTAATCTATTTAACTTTCCTAAAAGATAATTTAATGATCGTTAGCTACTAATGATTAAAGAAAAATATTTTAGAAAGCTTAAAGTAACGTTTTTATCTAACAAATTGTTTATATTAACTTTATCAATTATATAAAAGTATAAAAGTAGGATAATTAGATAGTATCTGTCATAGGTTGCAAACCCTACATAATGGCTTCAACACCTTTCAGCCTTACATACATATAGCAA